ATGCACATATGAATAAAAAAAAAAAACACTGATGGGAGACTGGGGTGTGCTCAAGTGGTAGAGTGCTTGTCTAGCAAGCACGATGACAAGTTCAAACCTCAGTACTGAAAAAAAAAAAATGATGGGATCCAGCTAATGTGGTGCTCTGTAGAAAAAACAAATCAGTTTCTCCTACTATACTATTCAACAAAGAAAGCTTCTGTGACCAAATGTTTGGGAGTTTCTCCCCCCCACACATCAAATAAGCCATCAATTCTTCAGTGGACACCACTGTGTTCTCTGTTTCAATTTTTACACTATCTATTTGGAGAGTCTATCAAATCCCACAGGTTGAGGGTTCAATCCCATAATTCTCCCTTCGCTTCTAAGTCCTCGGGTTGCTTTACCAGTGCTTCTGATTGGCTGTTTATAAATGTGGGTTCCCACAACCCCCTCCTTGGATTTGATTAATTTGCTAGAGTTGCTCACAAAATTCAGGGAAACACTTATGTTTACTGACCAAGTATAAAGGGCATTTTAAAGGATACAAATAAACAGCCAGATGAGGAGAGACACAAGCACAGGAGCTTCCATTCCAGTGTCGTTGGGTATGCCACCCTCTGGGCATGTAGATGTGCTCTTGTTCACCAAGAGGGGCTTCAAGGTCTAACTTTCTGAGCACATGGTTGGTTTACCAGTCAGCCAGCCTCTCCATGCTGCAGTTATCCAGGGGATCTTCCCAAATCACCCGATTAACATAACCTCAGATGTGGCTGAAAGGGGCTTATTATAAGAGAGAGACTACTTTCACCTTTCTAGCTCTGCTCCTGAGATGTTTCAGGAACCAAGGACAAGAGGCCAAATATTTTAACAATAGACAGTCTTATAGTTCTAGTCACTTAAGAAATTACAAGGGGCAAGGGGAGCTGTGGAGGAACTGTAGATGAAACCTGTAAGTGCCTAAGAGGGAAATTTATCATTCTTACTTTTCTTCTTCAGAAAAGTAAGGTCTCAAATCAGCAACATAAGCTAGAAAGATCAAATTGAAATAAGCCAGACTCAAAGATAAACCTAGGTTTTCTCTGTGGAATCTAGAGTCAAAAAAAAAAAAAAAAAAAAAGACATGAATGTAAAAGGGGAACCAGTGGGGAGGGGGAGGTGAAAGGACAGGATGATGCAGGGGTAAAGGTGGGAAGTACTTTATATGCATGTACAAAAACAGAATAATGAAACACATTAAAATTGTTAAAAAAAAGGGATGGAGGTACAAGAAAGAGTAATGGGGGTAAATTTGATAAAAACTTACCAATATGAGTGTCTGGAAATATCATGAAACATTAACAACGAAACCCTGTGAACAACTAATATATGCTAACAAAAAATAGAAAAAAAGATTCTAGAAAGATCAATAAAACATAAATCCTTTGCTACATTTACCAAGAATATAATCAAAGACACAAGCTAGGCGTTGATGCCTCACGTTTTGTGAGCATCTGCTTTGTAAGGTTCAAAACCCTACTTCCCAGCCCCCAAAAGACAAAAATTAACAAAATGAGAAACAAACTGGGACATATCATTACCAACTCTGTAGAAATTTAAAGGATTGTAAGGGAATGTTGTGAACAATTTTGTCCCAACAAATCAGACAACTTAGATAAAATGGACAAATTTCTAGAAAGACACAAATGATCAAAAGTGACTCCCACTCACCCCACTCACCCACCCAGGATACCACAATCCACAGTGCTCAAGTTTCTTAAATGGCAAGGAACAAACACACATCCTCCTGTACAAGTCTCTATTACTTGTAATAACTAATACAATGTGTTAAGTGAACAGTTGTTATATTATATTGTTCAGGGAATAATGACAAGAAAAAAGCTTACATGTTCAATAAATATGTAATTTTTCTTTCTTTTTGTTGGGTCTGGGGGGCTAAAGGATAGAAGAGTGAGTCAGTATCCCATCCCCCGTGGAGAGCACTATGGCCCTGCACCCTGAGGAGTTCATAAATCTGCATTCCTGCACCCTAAGGAGGAGATACATGGTCTCATAAATCTGCCATGGAGCTGATAAACAGAATGCTCTCAAGGCTGTTTCCCCCTCCAATAAGGGGCAAACAGATCAGCTCATCTAAGAGAGCCCACCTGCGAATTCACCGCCAATGGAAAGAACCCACCTAACCCTTACCCTAACCTGGAGTTAAAGCATCCATAAAAAGCCCCAGCCTTCACCTGAGCAGGGAGCCACTGGTTTCCGGGCTCCAGTGCACTGCTCTAGCTGTAGCCTTTCCTTTGTCCCTAATAAATCCTACTTTGTGTACCAGCCTTGTCTCACAAGCCAATCAGCTGCCTCAGGAGCCAGTTCTCTGGCCTCTGAAGGCAAGAACCTTTGTCACTGGCCCACAACATTTCACACCAGCATGTAACATTTCTTTTTTTTTTTGGGGGGGTGGTGGTACTGGGGTTTGAAGTCAGGGTCTTGTGCCTGGCTGTAGGAGCTTTATCACTTGAGCCATACCCCGAGCCCAATAAAGATATAATTTTTCAATTCATAGCTGGTTCATGATTCCCTGAGATTGGCTGTATCCACAGACATGGAACCTGCAGATACAAAGAGCCAACTATACACTTAAAAACAAACAGTGACTGGGGATTTAGCTCAGTGAAAGAGCACTTGCCTAGCAAATGAAAGTCCCTGAAATCAGTCCCTACCACTGGGAAAACACACACACACACACACACACACAAACACACACACACAGTAAGCCCAGGCCCAGGTGGCTTCCCTGGTGACATTTTAAAAATATTCTTTTTTCTTTTTTAAAAATAGATCACCTGCTGCCTAGCTAAATTTTCACCCCACCCTAATCATGTTTATCTTTGAGGAAAGGATGCTTGTATGCCACAAATTCCTCTTCAGGTGGGCTAGCTGAAACTGCCTGGATCTAAAAACAGATGCCAGAGTGATAACAAACAACCTCTACCTTCATTATAATCCTATCTGTTTGCAGCACCATGACAGATGATAATAGTCACAGTGATGACTGGAAAGAACCATAAAAGAAGTGAAAAGAGGTAGTGACTGAATTTTGGACAACCTCCTTCCATTCCTAGAACAGACATGAACATTCCTCCCTTTGTTAGCCTATCCCTCCCCCTCATTTATTTTATTGTATCTATAACCTCTTGACCACTATGGGTTAAGAAAGTAATTTGAGAATTTACTCTTGGCCAAGAATAAGTCTCCTTCACTGATCAATTGGTGTTCAGTTTTGCTATGGGTTCCACAGCTGGGAGAGAGAAAAAGGACCTATTGTGGGGACAAAACTGGCAACACTGGGTCCTGCTATGTAGCCCAGGCTGGCCTTGAACTCATGATCCTCCTGCCTCCACCTCCGAGTGCTGGGATCACAGTTGTGCTTCACTATGGCATGCTAGCTACGAAATAACTGAAGAAAGAATGCTAATTACTAATCTGGGCTCAGAAAAAGACATCACAAAGTATGGCACTTTGGTATGCTGGATGCTTTGAACTAAGGGGACTAGAAGACTTCAGAACCAAGGTCTTTCTGACTTTCTCCTGCTCCCTTTGCCATCCTTCCACTATTTTTTGTCCTTTTTTCACCCCACCCTCCAAAGTGCAGAGAAGGAGAGAGAGGCTTTCTTCAAAGTACTGTAGTTGACTAAGAGAAGTTCCTCCAGAAGGAATGCAACTGTCATGAGCTCCCTCCCTATAATCTTGGTGGTAAAGCATTTGCCTAGCATGTGCCAGGGTCTGGGTTCAAGCCCCAGCAGCACAAAAGTAAATAAAGGTCTACTTGGGAACACTAAAAATACATCTACCATATAAGCCAGCTATCCCACTTCTGGGTATAAAGCCAAAGGAAACAAAACAAATATATCAAGACAGGGCTGGTGGAGTGGCTCAAATGATAAGAGCACCTGCTTACCAAGTGCAAGGCCCTGAGTTCAAACCCCAGTCCCTCCCAAAAAGTAAAAAAAAAAAACCCAAAACAAACACATTAATTTAGCAGTCAGGCTACCCTATTGTTAGACTGATGAAGCATATACCCAAATTTAAACATATTTTCCTTGGATATGATCAAAATTCGATTTTATTTAGGGCAATCAAACTTTCCAAGATTAGTAGGGTCAGCAAGCAAACCATTAAAGAAATCTGATTTCCCTGCAGATACCTGACAGGATTAACACAGAAGCTAATACAGTTTCTATACATCTGTGTCAGAGTTAAGTAGCTAGCTCTGGAAAGCACTGGGAAGGGGGCCACACAACCAGGTCAGGCCAGCTCTTTCCATCGTTCCCTGTCTTCACTCTTACCCAGTCTCAGGTCAAACAGTCAACAGGCTGGGACGTTTCATCCCCAGTGGTGACCCCTGACACAGGTGTGGGTACACTGTTCTCTACAACCTCACATCAAGAGTAAGATCCAAGGAAGCAAAGCTAGGCTAGTTTCTCGGGCTCCTGGCCGTCATCTTGGAATGAGGTCCCAGCAGGAACACAGGGGTTAAGAGACCTTCCAGATCCGCCAGATGGGTCGGACTTGAGAGAGGACGGGAGACTCGAGACACGAGAGATGGGGAATTGTGGAGACTGGGATGATGGAGTCACGGAGAAAGGGTGAGAAACGGTACTTGGCTCGGCCAAGGGTCTAGGCAAAGGATGGGTCTATGAGTGTCCTAGAGGGCAGTCCTCGAGTTTGGGGAAAGCTGCACTGAGGTGGTTAAAAAAAGGGGGGTGGGGAGAAAACAAGAACACCCTCCCCCAAACTACATCCCCAGGAGCCTGAGCACGAGCGGCCCTGCGCCCTTCCCCAGCCGGGTCCAGCCGGCGAGCTCGAGTCCGCGAGTCCAGGGCGCGTCACGCAGGGAGGCGGGGCGGCGCCAGGGGGTGTGACCCGAGCCTCGGGGGCCGGTCTGCCTCCCAGCGCCGCGTTTCCGCCACTCTCGGCGAGCAGCGCAGGCGGGCGAGGGGCGTCCAACTCTGCGCCCCCGGACTCACCTTCTTCCCTCCCCACCGGCTGCGCGCCAGACACCGCTTCCCACAAACGGTGCGCCCTCTCGCGGTCGAAGCGCACCCCATCCGGTTCCCGGCCTTCCCGTTCCTCCGAGCTGGGGTATGGCTCAGCCCTTCCGCCGTCCGTAGCCTCCACGGAGCCCAGCGCCGCATACTCCATCTTTCCCTCAAACCCTAGCCGGCTAAGAGCTGCTCATGCGTCTTGCTATCGCGAGAGATGGGTGGGCGGGGATTCGGCCAGGCCAACAAATCTCGCGAGGTTTGGGCTCTGCAGCCCTCGCCGCGGTGTGGCGCCTGGCTTTCCTTTGGTTTTGGTGCCTTTAGGACTTTGGAGGTGTGCTGTGGACTCGAAAGCCGGTTGCTGTCTCTACAGCAAGCTCCCTCCCTCACGGTCAGTTTTCGCTCTCATTTTGTTGTGTTTCTTCACCATTTTTTTTGATAGGGAAATAAGGCCCAGAATCTGGAAATGGTGCGTTAAAGAATAAGTAGGGCTGGCGGAGTGGCTCAAGTGGTAGAGCACCTGCTAGGCTTGCTAGACCCTGAGTTCAAACCCCAGAACCGCCAAAAGAAGAAAAAGAAAGAAAAGAGAGAGAGAGAGAGAGAGAGAGAGAGAGAGAGAGAGAGAGAGAGAGAGAGAGAGGAGAGAGAGAGAGAGAGAGAGAGAGAGAGAGAGAGAGAGAGAGAGAGAGAGAGAGAGAGAGAGAAAGAAAGAAAGAAAGAAAAGTTCCTTATTAGAAGTGGTAGAGCCAGGATTCTATCGTCAAACTTTGATTATTGCTAATAGCAGATACTATTGGGGCCTACATAGCGAGTTCGAGGCCAGCTGGGCTAGATAGGGAGCCCTTATCTCAAACCCCACTCCCCCAAGTACCATTTATTGAGTTCCAAGTGCCAACCCCAGCTCACACCTTCCCTTATACCTCAGATCATTGTATCCAGTCACCTGTTCGACACTACCACTTGGATGTCTGATAGGCTTCTCCAGCATGAACTGTTAAGCCCCGAACTTTTATCTTCCAACCAGAGATTTGCTCCCCATCCATCTCTCTCTCTCTCTCTCTCTCTGTAGGAATGGGATTGGGGTTTGAGCTCAGGGCATCATGCTTGCAAAGCAAGCACTGTTTATCACTTGGGCCACACCGCCACTCCATTTTGCTCTGATTATTTTATAGATGGGCTGTCATGAATTATTTGCCCAGGCTGGTCTGGAACCATGATCCTCCTGATCTCAGCCTCCCAAGTAGCTAGGATTACAAATGTGAGCCATTGACACCTGGCTGGAGCCACCATCTCTTGTTTAGGCTATTGTAGTAGTGTCTTTGCTGGTGCTTTCCTCAGAAGTCCCAGGGATCCTCATGTAACAAGTCATGTTATGACATTCTCATGCACAAATCTCAATGACTTCCCATCTCACACTTAGTAAAAGGCCAAAGTCCTTACTGACCAACAAGGACCTATACAATATAACTTATCTTAACCTCCTGGAATGAATGAGGCTTGTAATGTGATTACCTTATTTCAACCTCATTGATTCAAGTATTTTTATTGAGAGTTTATTACAAACTAGATGATATTTGGGGCACTGGAATAAAGGGGTGAACAAGACAGGGAAGTTCTAGTAGAGTTTTTTTTTTTTTAATTTTTTGTAGTGGAGGAAAGTATGATAAAAAGTTCAAATAGTAAGAAGTGCTAAGGAAAAAACAAAACAGGAATATATATTAGGTGAATGATGAGGGAGGAATATTAGTTAGGGTGTTCAGGGAAGGCCTCTGAAGGAATGACATTGAGTTATGAGCTGGTTGATAAGAATTCTGGATCTTAGTCTGCAGATACATGTCCTTTTTCCAACACCAGATGACCAGCCTAAAAACCAATGACTGCGTGTCTCTTGATGTAGCTCAGGCTGGCCTTGAACTTTCTGTGTAGCCCAAGTTGGCCTTGAAGGCAGAATCCTCCTATCTCCATCTCTCTGGTGTTGGGATTACAGGTGTGTCCCTCCATGGCTGACTTTACTTACGTAAAGAAGATTTCTAGTTCCCCATACTTGAATAACAGTTATTTTTGTGGGCAAATCCTGGGAATGGAGTACTTAAATTGCTGTACATATGAAAATAGTCCTACTCCTCCTCCCAACTCTTAATCCAGTTAGATGCTCAACACAGTTTCTGTTCTCCAATGAATGCTATCAGGGTTCATCCCCTGTGCCACAGAGGCTATGGTTCAAACATTCAACAGTGTTGCTCAGCCCTGTATTTGTGGGGATGACTTTTTATTTCTTCCCTATGGAAAATGAGACCCATTTCTCAATATTTGTATTTTTGCCATAGGAGATGAATAATCCTAGGAAAATTACTTTACCAAGGGACAGAGAACTGGCTACAGTTTAGCACACAGTTCAGTTATATAAACACTAACTGTGTATGAGTGTGGCGCAAATCCATTCTACAGCACTTAACAAGATACAGTTTCTGCTCTCAGGAAGATTAAACTTGAGTGTGTCTAACTGGTATGCCTCTAATGATAGAACATAATTTACTAAATATATAATATCAGAGAGTACACATTAGCTGCTATCATAGAGGTACGGCAAAGGCCAGTGTGGATGGGGTGGGAACAAATCCACAGTGTGAGGATCATGATGATGTCTAGGATATTTCTTTTCTTTTTGTTGGGCAGCACTGGAGTTTGAACTCAGGGTCTTACCTTTGCTAGGTGCTCTTACCACTTCAGCCACTCCATCATCCCATTTTTGTGATTTTTTTTTTCTAGATGGGGTCTCTCAAGCTATTTGCCTGGGGCTGGCTTCAAACTATAATCCTGATTTCTGACTCCTGTGTAGCTAGGATTATAGGTGTAAACCACGGGGGCCAGACTAGGGTATCTCTTAATAGCTTTTCTACTTCTCAGCTCTAGGGTATATCTGTAGCTGTTAGAGGTGGCCACAGATTAGTTTTTATTAAGGGATGTAAAAACGTTTTGTTTGAATTTGAACTTGAGATTGATCCAAAACAGGAAGGGTGTTGCGGAGGAAAACTGAAGAGTAACAGGCAGCTGGGGATGGGATGCATGTCTTAGGCAAGGCAAAGGCAAGGCAAGGCAAGGCAAGGCAGGCATTTACTGTGACTTACCTGTTTCACTCAGTCTTACGCTTCTAATATCCATACTGTTGTGAATAACTAACTATAGCTTGCTTATTTATTTATTTATTTATTTATTTATTATTTGTTATTTTTTGGTGGCACCTGGATTTGAACTGAGGGTGACATGCTTGCTACACAGGCACTCTACCGTTTGAGCCACTCTGCCAGCCCAGGTCATTTATTTTTGCTGGTTTATTCTAAATACTATGGTATATTCTCTATGGATGTTCGAGATGTTTTCAGTGTTTGCTATTTTGAACAGCTATACTATGAACACTTTTTTTTTTTTTTTTGAGATGGGATTTTACTGTGTAGCCCCTGCTGACCTCTACCTCACAATTCTGCCTCAGCATCCCAGATGTTGGGATTGTAGGTGTATACTACCATTTCTGTCACCATTAACATTCTTACACTTATCTCCTCTCTCTTCAGCAAAGTATAAGATTACTGCAGATTTTCATTCTCTCCTGTACTGTCCTGTCAGACTTCTTTATGTTTTATCTATCTTGTTTGTGTAAAATGGTATTAGATTAGACCTTTTCATTCTTTTATCTCTGTCTTTTTTAAATTAATCAAACGCCATCAACATTATTTATTAAGCACCTTCTGTGAATTTGATATTTTGTTAGGTACTAGGGAATTTGATATTTCTCTTTTTTCTAATTTTATGTTGAAGTATAACTTACAGTAATATGTACAAGCACAAATCTTGGATGAACTTTTTTTTTGCAGTACTGGGGCTTGAACTCAGGGCCTTCACTTTGAGCCTTTTGATCTCTGCCTCCTGAGTAGCTAGGATTACAGGCATGGCCACTGGTGCCCACCGGCTTGGATGAACTTTTTAATTTAAATACACCTGTATCATCACCACCTGATTTAAGATACAGACCATTTCTAGAATCCCAGAAAGCTCATTTGTGCTTCTTTCCAGCCAATACTCACCCAAATAAATGAATATCCTGAACATCATGGATTCGTTTTGCCTGATCTTGAACTTTATGTAAATGATTTACTTAATTTCTAAATATTTGAGGCTCTTTCTAGATTTTTTTGATGACACTAGGGTTTGAACTCAGGACCTCACAATTGTCAGGCAGGTACTCTACCTCTTGAACCACAATCCCAGTCCTGCCTTGGATTAGTTATTTTTTAGATAGGGTCTCTCGTTTTTGCCTGGGGCCAGCCTCAGACCATGATCCTCCTACCTGCAGTTCCCCCACCTAGATAGATCATAAGGTTTATTGATTGAGATGGAGTCTTGCTAATTTTGTTTTTGAACTGCAGTCCTCTCTATCTCTGCCTCTTTAGTAGCTGGGATTACAGGTATGAGTCCTTGCACCCAGTTCTTTCTAGATTTCTTATTGTTGTTAATTTTCATTGATTGATTGAATGATTGGTGGTACTGGGGCTTGTACTCAGGGCCTCCGTACTTGTTAGGCAGGTGCTCTAACACTTGAGCCACACCTCTAGCTAATTTCTATTTTAATCCATTGTGATCAGAGAACATACTATGTAAGACTTAAGTCTGTGAGGTCTATTGGGATTTGTTTTATGGCCCAGCATATGGTTTATTTGGTGAGCATTCCATTTGCATTTGAAATGAATGTGTATTTTGCAGGTGTTTGGTATAGTGTTGTATAAATGTCTGTCATGTCAGGTGGTTGATAGTGGAGTCAGGTCTTCTGTATCTTTACTGATTTTGTCTAGCTCCATAAATTATGGAGGGTGCTTGTTTAAAATTCCAGTTAAGATTGTAGATTTTTTTTTTTTTGGTTTTGTGCTGTTTTGCTACAAGCATTTAATTTCTAACATACAAGAGTAAAGTCATGTTTTCCAGTTACACTGACACATTTATTGGTATGAAAGGCCCCTCCTGATCCTCAGCAATACTTATTACCATAAATTTGAATTTGTCTGATATTCATGTAACCATACCAGCTTTTCTCTGTTCATATTTACCTGGCATGTGTTTTTTTATTCTTTTTTTTGTGTTCTTACTACTGCAGTACCTTATATTTAA